AGATCTCTCTGGGATTGAGGTGCCCAAACCTGGACACAACCCTCCAGGTGTGGCCTCCCCAGTCAGAGCACAGGGGACTGTCACCTCCCTGCTCCTGCTGGTCACACCAGTGCTGATACAAGCCAGGAGGCCGTTGGCTTTCTTGGCCACCCGGGTACACTGCTGGCTCATGGTCAGCTGCTGGTCAGTGAGAACCCCCAGACCCTCCTTTTACAGAAAGAATTGTGGTGGCTTCCTTAGGTTTATAGAAGGATATAAGCTGTGACAATCTCGTCACAGAAGGATGAGTTTGGGTTGTGCCTTTCATCTGTGCTTGTGTAGCCGGCATTCACCGGGCTCAATACGGGCTTTGGATGTCAGTGTGGGCTGTGAAACCCACGTGTTTCTCCCAGTTCTATACTGGGACAAGCACGAAGCTGTCTGTGAGCGTTTTGGGGCTGCGCTGCTCCGACGCTGCCCCGGGGAACGTGCGTTTACCTGGTTTAACCCCCCGTGGGCTTCCTCCAGCGCCTGGCGACTTACGGCATCAACGTGGCTGAGCTGACGGGGGATCACCAGCTCTGCAAGGAGGAAATCAGCGCTACCCAGATCATCGTCTGCACCCCGGAGAAGTGGGACATCATCACCCGCAAGGGAGGAGAACGCACCTACACCCAGCTGGTGCGGCTGGTCATCCTGGTGAGCAGTGCCAGTGCCTGGCATGGAGGAGGGGGACAATGAGGGACGCTGGCTCTGTCGGCCTCACGGTTTCCAAACATGCGCTAGTGCTTGGTTGTAGAGACTCGGGCTTTGAGCTGTGGGATGAGTGTGCTTCAGGCCCTGCAAGCGGGTCCGCTAAGAAACTAAACCAAAAAATGAGTTGGTATCGCCGGTTTGGAGCGGGGAGAACTGTTCCCGTTTCCTCTCTTTAGGATGAGATACACCTACTGCATGATGACCGAGGACCCGTCCTGGAGTCTCTGGTAGCCAGAGCCATCCGCAACATCGAGATGACTCAGGAGGACGTGAGGCTCGTTGGCTTGAGTGCCACCCTCCCCAACTACGAGGACGTGGCTACGTTCCTGAGAGTGGACCCGGCCAAAGGCTTGTTCTATTTCGATAACAGGTACCCTGGGAAGCTGGGAGAGATCTTTGCGATCGGGTGGTGGGTGGCTGTTGGGAAAGACCTGTCTCCTGTGGAGGCAGTTGAGTGTGTTATCTGTCAGATGGTGCCAGGGTCTCACCGGGCCTTCAGCCTACTCCCAGCATGCGTTTATTTGCTCTTAAATGTCCCTGTAAACGCACATTCAGGACTAGAGCAGCTAAATACAGCCTCAAAATGTGTGGCAGGGTTTCTGCGTTGTCATACTTGCGAGAAGATGCTTTAGAGAAAGCAGATGAACTCTGCTGTACCTGTGTGCTGCATAAGGTGTTTGAAGGAAGCCTAAAATAGAATTATGGTAGTTCCTGAAACACTGTTTTTGCTCCCTGAGCGTGTGCGTAGCAAATGGATTCCAGGAAGTAGGAATACATGTTACTGTTTAATCTCACCAGGCAGAACTGCAGCCCTCAAAACTCTGATTAAATGGAGGCACAAAGGAATTGAACTTGGTAGCACGGAATACAGGATGCCTTCGGACAGAACCTTTGTAGCAGGGTTTCTCCATTCTTCTGCTCTTTTATGGACTTATTTTTTTTTCCTTACAGCTTCCGACCGGTGCCCCTAGAGCAGACCTATGTGGGTATTACAGAGAAGAAAGCAATCAAACGCTTCCAGATAATGAATGAGATAGTTTATGAGAAGATTATGGAGCATGCTGGAAAGAACCAGGTTTGATACTTTATTATTCCTGGCCCACTTAATCCCGGCTCTCGTCTGTTCCTGGTGAGACTCTCTTGAGGTGCTGTCCCTGCAGTGGAGAAGGGGGAGGTTTGGGTGGTCAGTGGCAGCTGAGGGAGGAAGGAACAGAGGTTCCCTCTCAGTGTCAGCTGTCTGATGAATGTACGACCACTCCTTTTTAGGATGAGGGAGCTTTTGTGATGCTGCCCTATTAAATCAGGAACTCTTTGCTGGTTCACAGGGCATCTGGACTAATTCTAGATCAACTCCCACCCTGAACACCAGGAGTGGGTTGGCTCAATCATCTTTTTCCAGCTGCAGCTGCAACGATTCCCCTCGCAGTGATGGTACCATCTGCTTCTTTTAACAGGTGCTGGTGTTTGTTCACTCCAGGAAGGAGACCGGGAAGACTGCCCGGGCCATCAGGGACATGTGCCTGGAGAAAGACACCCTGGGCCTCTTCCTGCGGGAGGGCTCAGCCTCCACCGAGGTGCTGAGGACCGAAGCCGAGCAGTGCAAGGTAACTGCCCGACCGGGGCCGTTCTCACCCAGCGATAGCAGGAGAGCAGCTGCAAAGATGCTGCCAGTTTGGTGCAGTTTCACAGCCTTTCCTTTATGTTTATTTTCTCCCTGGTGTTAACTCGGCTCGAAAAGCTAAAGCTGGTTGTGTTTCTGCTGCAGAACCTGGAGCTGAAGGACCTTCTTCCTTACGGCTTCGCCATTCACCACGCCGGGATGACGCGAGTGGACCGGACACTGGTGGAGGATCTGTTTGCTGACAAGCACATTCAGGTGAGCCCTGCTTCCCAGGAGGAGCTCCACGTTTGTTCGGGGCAGGCACTTCACAAGAAACGCTTGAGCCGGGTTTTTAACAGCCCTGTGGGCAAAACCAAGAGCATCAGGTGCTGCCAGCTGCCATGCTGCTCTGCTGAAGCTGGTGCTTGGTGATTTTCCTGTAAAGATTAGAAACTAAAAGCACACGGCCAGGAGTGGAGAGGGCAAGAACTTCTCCCCTAGGCCTAGCTGAGTGTTTAAAGCTCGAGGCCTGTCCCAGAGCAGGCTGCCACTTTGGCCAAAGCTCATTTAAGCAATTTCCTGGCTCCGTTATAAATGGAAGGCAAAGGATTTTTGTGCAGTGAGCTGGAAAATTTGGGCAACGATCTTGCTGTTCATCTGCTGAGCTGTCAAGACAGAATCCCAGAATCCTCTGGGTTGGAAAAGCCCCTCCAGCCCAACCATGACCCTCCCTCTGACCGTTCCCAACTCCCCCAGATCCCTCAGCGCTGGCTCAGCCCGACTCTCCAACCCCTCCAGGGATCCCGGGGACTCCCCCCTGCCCTGGGCAGCCCATTCCAACGCCCAACAGCCCCTTCTGCACAGAAATCCTTCCTCAGAGCCAGCCTGACCCTGCCCTGGGCAGCTTGAGGCCATTCCCTCGGGGCCTGGCGCTGGGGCCTTGGCTCCAGAGACTCATCCCCCCTCTCTGCCCCCTCCTGGCAGGGAGTTGCCGAGGGCCAGGAGGTCTCCCCTCAGCCTCCTCCTCCTCACCCTGAACACCCCCAGCTCCTTCCCTGGCTCCTCACAGGATTTATTCTCCAGCCCCTCCCCAGCC